AAAGATTTACAAAGGGGCACAATTTTTCACCCGTCATATCCCTCAGGATTATTTTGAGAAAAAGCTAATTCAGAGAATCTGTTTCACCCGCTTGAAGAAAAAAAGAGGAGCATGCGCGGATCAAGAGGGGGAGGTCGAGGGAGGTACTTCAAGAACGTCGGGCCCCAATACTATAGGGATTTATGATATAAAATCTAATTGCAAAAACTCAAAAGCTTAACGTCCGGAAACAAAAATCTTACAAACAGACAGAATGTTTGAATGTACGACCTTGACCTTTGACCTCAAAATAAATAATAGTCTTCTTTGGGCCATAGGGAGTTGTAGTATTTAATCTCATGGCAAAAGCACAAAGTCTTCTCGATATATCGCCCGGAAACAAAAGTGATACAAAAGAGAGAATTTTTTGTGAATTCATGACCTTTACTTTTTTTGACTTTAAAATCAATAGGGGTCTTTCTTAGGCCATAGAGAATTGTGTAAAAGGGTTTTTCGAGATATCGAGATATCGCGTGGAAACGAAGGTGTTACATACAGACAGCCATACAGACAGACGGACGGACAGACAGGCCGAAACTAATATGTCTATTATGCAAATATTTAAAAGAAAATTTCAAATTTAAAACTGCATTTTATATATTTATTTTGTTAAAAATTATTTAAATGTATGACTTGATTTGATATTTTCATATGCAATTTATTTATTGTATTCTTTTTTTTTTACAGATTAGTTTTTGCCGAAAAAGCTTTGTTTATCATAATTTCATACCTTTCAATTGAAATCAATTAAATTTACTTTTAATACTAAATTTCACATCCTGAATATGTACTTTTGAAGCAATATATAAACCCTGTTCGCTCATAACCTTGATTTATGCAAATCGTTGGTCAGAAAAGCGGCAGATATGTTAGACATGGTTTTACTGAAATATGATTGCCTGTCTACGATTTTGATCAACTTTGAAAGGAACTTGAGCCTGCATGTGTTATATGTGCATATTTGATAGCACTAGCATGATTTAGCTATCAGATTAATAAAGACTTGTGAAATGTATACAATGACATGGCAGCCGGTGAGAAAAAAATGGAGTACTGAAAACTTAATATCGATAGAAACTGTCTAACAACTGCAAAATTACGAAAGATGTAAACTGGTAGATAAATGTGAGAAAAATAGGGGGGCGAAAAAAAAATTCTTGTTGAAGTTAGTAAAATTTACTGTCCATACAATCCCTATTCACTTGAGTAAATTTTACTAGGTATCTAGACTTTTACTAATTTAAAAGTTAATTTTATTTGTTCAATTTTTATCTGTTCACAAGTTTTCAATAGTAATTTGTTCGTGATTCTAGCTCGAAGGACTACAAAATGGAAAGGAAAAATTCCATAAACACAGTTTATGATCGGAACAGTAGAATTAGATTACTTAATTTGTCAGCCCCTGCCGGTAAAATTCACTATTTTGATTTTTAAAAAAAACAATCAAAATATTGCCCATGACTACTTTACAAAATGATTTACTTATGTTTTGATTAGGAAAAAAGTGTAAAAATATTAATGTGTATTGTTACACTATTAAATATCCAGCTATCTATGTCTTATTTTAAATTTTATTAAAAGTGCGATTTATGATGTAAGTAATTCGTGAATACTTCCCTGTTTAATTCTATCGATTTTATTTATGTAATAATCAGTTTAAATGAGGATATAGACATAGAGCGTTGCTATGAAAAACAAACTATTTTGATAACGAAGTACTATTTATAATTTTGAATACATTAACGATCTATTTTTGGTATAAAACTGTCAACTGGTGTACGATACGGACATAATGTACTTAGACCATTACAGCTCACTCCAAAAGTAATTCTTATAATTTACCTGGCCATTTTATAACAAAAAAAAAATCCTTTGGATATATTATTTTTCCGCTCGGAATGGAACATCATGGATTGAGAGAGAGAGAGAGAGAGAGAGAGAGAGAGAGAGAGAGAGAGAGAGAGAGAGAGAGATGTCAGATGTCTATAGCCTAAAAATTTCTTCTTTAAAGAAATTATTTTTTAATAAATAAATAAATACACAAGAGTTGAAGAGAGAAAGGCTAAGCATTGGATTGATTAGATTGTCTTAACTCAAGCATGTCTTCAAAGGAGAGGTTAATTATTCTTTTAGAATTTTCACAATAAAAGGTTGGTGTGGCGTATCCTTGCAGTTGAAGTTGTCTTCATTATGGTCATGCTCTATCATCAGACAGGTCCGTAGCAATGGTTTCAAAGGGGGTGGTGGCAATTTTCCACTTCCCAGATCAAGCAAAAAAAATACTGTATGCCTATCGGAAAATTAAATGCTCAGAAAAAGTGAGCCCCCACCCCCACCCCCGCCCCGCGGTTTTCGGGCCTCTCGGATACAAGAAATGAAGTGTTCAGAGTCTGTGAAGAAGTTTATTGTACATCAATTAGTTTTTGCGTAAATATATAACCCCCACCACCACCACCACCAC